ACATCTTCCACCGTGTGGTGCAGGGTGCTCCACCTCTGGGTATAATCTCTCAAAGTTTCATTCGGTTTCTGGACGCAACACTGTAATTCCGTCAAACCTGCTGACCGCTTGCAAGTACCCTCAAACGTTCTGACAAACACTCGGGCGAGATCTTCCCAAGTATAGATACTGCCAGGCGCCAACTGATTCAGCCACGCCCTAGCCGAGCCCTCCAACATCAGAGGAAGGTGTTTCATGGCCACCTCATCATTTCCGCCACCAATCTGGACAGCCACTCGGTAGTCTTCGAGCCAGGTGTCAGGCTTGGACTCTCCGGTGAACTTACTAACTCCAGTCGCCAACCTGAAGTTGGGGGGAATCACTGCAGCTCTGATAGCTCTGCTGAAGCACTCTGGGCCAGAGACATGCACCCTGTTGCTGGTTTGCGGGCCTCTGTCATGGACATCTCGGTGAGCTCTGTTTCTGTTGACCAAGCCTTGTACGAGAATAGATCTCGCATCAAAGCCTGGCTCCCTAGGGTCGACTGGAATACCTCTTCCGACGCTGTTAGGGCGCCTGTCTTCATGTGGCCGCGGCACGTATGACCCACTCCTTGGAGGAGGCGTGGGCACTCGACGGCGACCATCGCGATCGGCTCAACGATCATACTGCTCCTGGTTTCTGTACTGATCATGCCGCTGTCCACGTCCCTCACGCCTCGGGGCGATCTCGGGCTATGGGCCGACTGGACCGTATCTGCGACCACAGATCTGCTATGGATCCTATCCCGCGACTGAGACACGACCGTATTCTGCTCTCCTGCTGCCCGGAGCAAGGCCCTAATCTACGCCAGACCTCGACCAACTTTTGATTGGGAAGGTTGAATCGACTCTGCTATCCGAGCCGCAGCTGCTAGGTTTTGGATCGGTGTTCGGTATACCTGAGCCAGAGGTGGAAAAGTTGGCGTCGGCTGGACTCAGGAGCACGTTGACGAGCGCGATCGTCGAGTGCGCGCTGTAGGTTCTCCAGCCGAGTGCGCTCAGCCAGATTGGCCAAGCGAGCCTGTTCCAAGGCCTGGGCCTTGGGCGTTTCTCCAACGATAGGAGTATGCAGGGCATCCACGTTTCGGTGACGAAGTTCTTCTCTCTACTGCGAGGAGAGAGGCTCGGGGCGGTACTCCTCGTGAACGCGCGACGGATCGTCGTTCCCGTCACCTCCGTCTTCACGATCGAAGCCAGGAGGACCGCGTGGTCCATTGACCATCAGGACTTCCGCTGCCGAGTCATTGCTGCCGCACTCGGATGCAGTCTCTACGGAGCCAGTCGACAGATCGAACAGGCCGTAGAGAGACTCGTTGGGCTCGAGCGCCGCGGCTTGAGGGGTGGCCGACTGGCGGGCCACCGCATGCTTCACCCACCGTTGAACCCTCGACCGGTCGGTGCGCTTGTTCCGGCGGGTCGCAGGGAGGGGGAAAGCCGTAGGAGTCGACTGGTACTGGGTCGACGGTTGCCGCGGGAGGACGCTGCGGACGCACGCGTGAAAGTGCGTCGCCCCGCGGGCAGGGAGCGCATTGACGTCGAGTGGTGCCTCCTGAAGCCAAGCGGAGTCATCAGCGACAAACACGAGCGCGCCGAGACGGATCTCGCGGCCCTTAGCCAAACCTCCGCCTGGAACCATGATGATGGGGATCGGAAAAATTGCAACTTCTCCAATAAGTCGCTAAGACACCTGCCCCACGGTGGGCACCAACTGTCGTGGATCTAAGACTGACAGTAGAATGGGGGTAGGTATGAGGAGGCAAGATCCTAGCTATGGAGTAGTTGTACGCACGAGTTTTACGAGTTTAGGCCCTTCTCGGAGGAAGTAACAGCCCTACGTCTCGGTGCCCTGAGGCGGTCGACTGGATTATACGTGTGTGTGTGTTTACAAAAGTGCGAACCCTTGTCCCAGAGGAGGGAGGTGGCTTATATAGAGTGCGCCAGGACCCCGGCTCCCCTCCATTACACAGAGTTCAATGCTCATAAAGGAAAGGCGTTACAGGTAACGTCTACAGTAGATGTCATAAATGCTCATAATGCTATGGTTTAAGTCTTAAACGTTGCAGAGTGGAGGGTTCCTCATCTTCTGGTGGTTGAGTGTCTTCAAGGTGGTCGAGTGAGCGCATCTCCACGGTCGAGTGGATGATGATTTCTCTTCGATTGCTTCTGATTCTTTGTAAAGATGTCCTTGGGGAGGATACGCTGGACAGATCCATGACCCTACCCTAGGTACATAGCTTCATCACCTGGCACGCGGCTTCTTCAAGCCAAACGAAACAAAGGCACAGGATCTCCGGAGGAGGAAACTGCTCAGGCCCTCCGGCTTCGAGCCATGGTGCCTCACCAGCTTCGGGGACTACTGTCGGGGGGATGGATCCCGGGTAGCCTCATCTGCACCCAATAATATTTCAAGACATCGGGCTAGCAAAGCCCCTCATGCTGACTGGCCACGCGGCCGGCTTCTAGAAGACGGCGCGCTCTTAGAAGGCGGCTAGGACCACGAGTCCGGCTTCCAGAAGACGACACACTCTTAGAAGGCGGCTAGGACCACGCGGTCGGATTCCGGAAGACGGCACACTCTTACAAGGCGGCTTGGGGGACGGACCAGCTTCCAGCAGCCGTCCCCTCCTCCTCCTCAGAGTCTGTACTCACCCACTATGACGAGACAGGGCGTAACTACAGTGCCGCGTGCTCCCGCCCGAATCCCGGAAGAGCGTGGCTACAGTGCGCGCTGACCAAGCGGCCACCTATCCGCACAACACGGGACTATAGCCATACGACGCATGACATGGCCCTCGTCAGCAAGGACCGCGCTACAGCAAAAGGCAATCAGCATGGCCCGCAGGCGGCGGGCCCTACCTGTTGACCGGATTCTCGGCAGCCGGTGGGGCCCTCCAGAGGCGGGCCCCAGCAACCGGTGGAGAACTCGATGACCTTAGACACTGACATCCGGGTCCTACACCCGGCTGTATTACCATTGTACCCCTAGGGGTCGGCCTATAAGACCCTCCCCCTCCCCCGGGGCTCACCCATGCAAAGGGTTGAGCTCTCATTCCACACACACACCATAGCTAGGAGAAGAGGGAAAGCCCTACCCTTCTTCCTCCTCTAGCAATACAGCTCTAGGAGCAACCTTGTATATTATCGTTCATAGTCATCACAGCAGGACTAGGGGTATTATCTCTCCGGAGAGCCCCGAACGTGGGTACGTCTCATGTGCTCCTGAGCTCGTGCTCACTCTCGCTTCCGGAATCTGATGACGTCCTCGTGGATCCACCCATGATAGGCCACCCCTTGGCATCTGACGTGAGATTACCACGACATTAGGATAATAATTTGCCAAATTCATTAGCTTCTAGATCACTTGGAATGAAAAACAACCATACAACAAAGAACTCACTGTTTACCTCAATGAATCAGTGATTTATTTCTTCTCCAAACAACTGACCGATAATGATGATCATTCTTAGTATTATCTTACCAATGGACACAACAAGCAAGTTCAGTTTGTGAGGAAAGCAATGTATATAATAAATTTGAACTTTTTTCTCTCATTATCTTGGCTTGTAGACCATTGAATTCACCTACCATGTTAATTGCTCCACCATAATCTTGTCCCTTCACTTGTTGTAGACTCAAACCAAGCTTTATAGTTATAAAATCAACTTTAGAATTGATTTAACTAGATGTTGCCTTCTCCACATGAATAACACCTACAAACCTCTCATTTGATTCCCCACATCTACCTACACAACATAGAACCACTGCCATATGTTTTTTGTGTAGAAAATGACAACACTAATCAATCAGTAAACTGAACACACCATGCGGATCTCCTTCAAAATACAACCCAATATTTCTTGTGCAAAGCATTTGGTAATATCCCTTTGAACTGTTGAAGACAACCACCAATAACTAAGTGGAGCACTTTTTAATGCCTTGAACCATATTGTGAATAATAGTATAACCCACCAACACCCTATAGTTTCCTTTATTTTATAGAATCTTGACACATCATGGCCGTCAAATGGTTGTTCTTGATGCAACAATTGTCTGCATACATCAATTCAAGCATTCTCCTGATAAGATGATAGTTTTTACAAAATTTTCCTTTGTTTGTACAAGGCTATAGAGATTGATTGAGATGGTTGTCAATAGATCAGGCATGGTTTCCCTCTCTCGGCCGTGCGCGATGGACAACTGATTTCCCACGTTTAGTTTATGGGAACATGATTTATTCTCCTACCGTGGGCATTGTCATCATCGCACTCATTTCGTCCCTATCATGTGCGATTGGGGAGGTTTAATAGCCTCGTTGTATACTACATTTCGGCTGGCCTTCGGGCCGGTGAAGGCAGCAACATGGCGGGCTTGATGTCTGACCTGGATGGGGTTATGTCGTCGACGGAACCCGATTTGATTACTGGCATCTTAAGTACTCCTGTTGTTTGTCCACAAGGTCTCTCTATCGAAGCACCGTGGCTGGAATTGGCACGACGGAACTCACAAGTGTGGTCGATCAAGTTGCCACTCAAAATTCGAACAATTGATATGTGGTCGTCTTCCCCAGTTCAAGAGGTCTTGAAACAAAACTGCCCGGTGATGGCCGTTGTCCGCTTTGTGAGGTCATCGAGGACAATAAGCACATATTGTTCACTTGCGTTACCGCTCAATTTTCGTGGTGTTGTCTTTGTGAGATCATAGGATACGAGGGGTATTGTGCTAACTTCTTGGATCTTTAGGAGATCATTAGGACTAGCTCACGTAACACTCGTGGCTACCTTTGGGTCGGCTTTAGTGTTCTTGACTAGACACCCTGGACTATTCACGATAAGCTTGTTATCGAGAATGTTCATGTGCGAAGCCCTAAAGATGGTATTTATAAATAGTGCGGTTTCTTCCAGGAGTGGCAGATCCTCAACAAGCAACTGGATAGAGTCGCCATCTATGATTTCACTCAATTTTGGGATCTACCTTGTCGCCTCACTCCGCCGCTGGTTTCTTGATCTTGGTTGTATCCCATGGGCCTATTGTTTTGATGACCCCCACAACTTTAAACCCCTTTATTTTCCTTTTATTTTGACTGTTTGGTGCACCTATGCAGATGTTTGGTGGTCTATTGCCATATTTATAAAGTGGAGTGAAAGCCTTTTTTCGATAATGGCCCCGAAATATTTCTTTTGGTGGGGATCTGTAATGATTTTGAACGAGAGACTTTTGGGCGCTCAAGGCCCCCAAAGCAGGCCAGAGAGTTAAATCTTTAAATATTAGTATAAATTTGCTGATTAATTTGGGTGAATTAATAAAATTCTCTTGTTCTTAACTGTTTTTTCCCTGGTATTCACGGTCAACGAATGGCATGAATTATGACAACTTGAATTATATATTGATAATATTGTAAAAAAGAATTACATATAATTTGGCTATACAAAGAATCATGTAGGCAGGATCAATCACGGAGAAAAGGAGAGAGAAATTTTTTTTATAATGGCGCCAGCTGCCTGGCGTTGTCGTTGTTGACTAGCAGAGAATGTTGAGTATATGTATTATGCATATCTGTGTATTAGGCCTACCTCCTAGTTTCTTGTATAGCTGAGGTCGTGGCCCACTTCTTGTACATCATATATACGTGTCTTTGTACATGAGCAATACATTGTGCAATTTCAACAACATACATGGTATCAGTTTTTAGCTTTCCGCTGCCGCCGCCGCCGCTCGCGCGTCTTCCGCGGCGGCCGCCGCTCCTGTCAGCTGCGCGCTACCCAGCTGCGCCGCACACCCCGCCCAACCCCTCAGCCGTGCGCGCTTCCCAGCGCCGCCAGCCTCGCTCGGCAGTCTTGCGTGCTACCCGCCCAATCGCTGCCTCACCAGATCCGCTCGCCAGCATCGCTCGCCTGCGGCCATCAAACAATCAAGTGGTCGTGCGTATCTATTGGTGCTGGAATCGATCAAGGCAACGATCGATTGGCTAGTTGACTCACTAGTACATCCAAGGAAAGATCGATCAGCTAATTGAGGCTGGCTTTGCACCGAGGGGTTGATCCGAATCCAGCGTTTTGCTTCGTTCGTCCTCGTCGTTCGTCGCCGGAAGTACTCGGTGTCTGCTGCCGCCCAACCACGCCGACTGCCGCCGTTGGACCAGAGATGGCATCCGTCGGCCTGTCCACCACCGTCTCTGCTGTCCCGCCGCCGGCGCCCCACGGCGCGGCGCTGGCGCCGTACGGGACAGCCGCCACCTATGACGTGCCCGTTTCCGCGCACGGGTATCTTACGTACGGGGCATACAGGGCTCCGCACGCATCCATGTACGGGTCTCCGCCTGCGTACGGGGTTCCGCCTGCATACAAGTCTTCCAGATACTGGTGGGGGTCGTCAGCAGGCCAGCAGGCTCCCACCCCTCTCGTGCATCCTGCGTACTTCGCGGCTTTGCAACTGTATGGAGAATACCCACCGCCGCAACTGAGCGGCGGCTATGGCCTCCCCATGGCGCGTCCGTTCCCCTCGCTGGCCCTGCCGCCGGCGCCCTGGGACCCGGTGCTCCTCACCGGGCTGCATGCCGTTCCTACGCTGAACAACTACACCGGAGATGATGATTGGTACATGGAGACCGGGGCTACGGCTCACATGTTTGCTCATCCTGATAATTTTGCCTCTTTCACTCCCGTCACCACCGATCGTTTGTCGGCGACGGTTCCACACTCCCTATCACACATGTCGGGCACACTTCTTTTCCTTCTACTTTCATGCCTATTACTTTGTCTAACATACTTGTGTCACCTCATCTTATTAAAAACCTTGTTTCCGTTCGTCGTTTAACTCGTAAAAATCCTGTTACTGTTGAATTTGACGAGCTTGGATTTTGTGTCAAGGACGCTCGAACCAGGATGGTACTTCACCGATGTGACAGCCTCGACGAGCTCTATCCGGTGCATTCGCCGTCCACCTCCACCACCGCACCGGTTGCTCCCTCCGCCGGCGTCGATCTCTGGCATGCTCGTTTGGGTCATCCCAATCCTGTCACACTTCATCATATTCTTAGGAGTTTCAGTTTCAGTTGTCATAAGATAGAGGATCACACCTGTCATGCCTGTCGTGTCGGTAAACATGTTCGCCTCCCGTTCAATGACTCCACCACCATAGCTTCTTTTCCTTTTCAGTTGATTCATAGTGATGTATGGACCTCTCCGGTTCCTAGTAATTCGGGCTATTTATATTATCTGGTTATCCTTGATGATTATTCTCATTATGTGTGGACTTTTTCTTTGCGCAGAAAGTTGGATGCACTCCCCACTTTGACGGCTTTTTACTCCTATGTCAGCACGCAGTTTGTGCGTCCCATCCTTGCTCTTCAGACTGACAATGGAAAAGAGTTCGACAACCTTGCTTTCCGCACTTTTCTGTCGCACCACGACACAGTTTTTCGTCTCACATGCCCGTATACTTCCCAGCAGAACGGTCGAGCCGAACGTGTCCTTCGCACTCTGAACGACTGCGTTCGCACGCTCCTGTTTCATGCTAATGTGTTGCCTCGTTTCTAGCCGGACGCACTCGCCACTGCTTCTATTCTCCTTAACCTTCGCCCTTGCCGCCCACGGTGGAACTATGCACCTCACCATCTTCTTTTCGGTACGCCCACTTCTTATGATGGATTGCGTATTTTCGGGTGCCTTTGCTATCCTAGCATTGTCGACTCCGCTCCTCACAAACTTGCACCTCGTTCTGTCGCTTGCATTTTCATCGCATACCCCTCCAACTTCAAGGGATATCGGTGCTACGATCCCGTCTCCCACCGTGTGTTCACTTCTCGGCATGTTTATTTTGATGAGCATGTGTTTCCGTTTCACCAGGTACCCTTGGCTATTCCTCCCGCCACCGGTGACGCGGGCTCCTCGACGCCTCTCCCAGGGCACTCGCGCGCCTCTCTTGGCCCGCCCCTGGCTTTGAGGCGCGCCCCCCGCATGCGGCGCCTCCTACAGCCGTGGCACCGGCGCCCCTGGCAGCCCCGACATTGGCGCCCGCGGCCCTCGCGGTCCCCTTGACGCCCCTGGTTCCCCCGGCACCCGCGGCCCCCCCGACGCCCGCGTCGGCGCCCGCGGCCCCCTCGGCGCCGGCGCCCCCGGCCCCCTCGGTGCCCTTGGCGCCCCCGGCGCCCCGGACGCCTGCGGCCCCCCGGCGCCTGTGGCTGGTCCGGTCACCCGCGCCCGTACGGGCGTTTTTCGCCCGAGCTCGCGCTACTCTTTGGATGACTACGTCCATGTGACGTCCACGTCTGAGCCGTCGCCGTTGCCGTCCTCCGTTTGAGCTGCTCTTCGTGACCCGCTCTGGATGGCTGTGATGCAGGAGGAGTTTGACGCCCTGTTGCGCAACCGGACGTGGCAGCTTGTTCCCCGTACCCGACACGCCAATGTGATTACCGGGAAGTGGGTCTTTAAACACAAGCTCCGTCCTGATGGTACCCTTGATCGCTACAAAGCGCGCTGGGTCGTTTGTGGCTTCCGACAACGTGCTGGCATCGACTTCACCGACACCTTCGCTCCGGTCGTCAAGCCCGGCACGATACGCACGGTTCTCCACCTTGCGGTCTCCCGTGCTTGGCCAGTGCACCAGATGGACGTCTCCAACGCCTTTCTCCATGGTCACCTCGAGGAGCAGGTCTTCTGCCAGCAGCCCACCGGATTTGTTGACCCGGCGCTTCCCGACCACGTGTGCCTGCTTTCGCGGTCCTTGTACGGACTCAAGCAGGCTCTGCGCGCTTGGTACCAGCGCATCGCGGCGTTCCTACACCAGCTTGGGTTCCGTTCCACCCGCTCGGATGCGTTACTCTTCGTCTATCATCAGGGCTCTGACACGGCCTACTTGCTGCTCTATGTCGACGACATCATCCTGGCGGCATGTACAGCTGGCCTCCTCAGCCAGCTCACTGATCGTCTTCGCGCTGAGTTCGCCATCAAGGACTTGGGTCCTTTGCACTACTTCCTCGGTCTTGAGGTGGTGCGACGTCCGGATGGCTTCTTTCTTCATCAGCGGAAGTACGCTCATGAGCTCCTGGATCGCGCTGGCATGCTTAACTGCAAGCCCGCCGCTACGCCTGTTGATATGAAGGCCAAGCTCTCTGCCTCGGATGGTTCTCCTGCTTCGGATGCTGCATTCTACCGGTCCATCGTTGGTGCTCTCCAGTATCTCACTCTAACTCGACCGGAGATTCAGTACGCCGTACAACAGGTGTGTCTTCATATGCATGCTCCTTGAGATGTTCACTGGGCCGCTGTCAAGCGGATTCTTCGCTACGTCTGCGGCACTATGGAGCTTGGCATCACGCTCTTCGCCTCTGCCGACACCGCCCTCACCGCCTATACCGATGCAGACTGGGCGGGCTGCCCTGACACTCGTCGCTCCACCTCGAGCTATTGTGTCTTCCTTGGACCATCACTCATATCATGGTCGTCCAAGCGGCAGCCTACGGTCTCTCGCTCCAGTGCTGAGGCTGAGTATCGTGCGGTGGCCAACGTCGTCGCCGAGTGTTCGTGGCTTCGCCAGTTGCTCCAGGAGCTCTCTTGTCCTGTGAATCGTGCTACGGTGGTCTACTGTGACAACGTCTCGGCTGTCTACCTCCCCGCCAACCCGGTCCATCATCGCCGGACCAAGCATATTGAGTTAGATATCCACTTTGTTCGGGAACAGGTGGCCCTTGGCCATATTCGTGTTGTACACGTCCCTACTTCCCAACAATTTGCAGATATCATAACCAAGGGCTTGCCTACGGCGTCATTTGACGAGTTTCGGTCCAGTCTTTGCGTCAGCAGCGGTGCCGCTTCGACTGCGGAGGGTGTTGAGTATATGTGTTGTGCATATGTGTGTATTAGGCCCACCTCCTAGTTCATTTTATAGCTGAGGTCGCAGCCCACCTCTTATACATCATATATACGTGCCTTTGCACATGAGCAATACGTTTTGCAATCCCAACAACATACAGAGAAGCGTCAAGCCAGCCACGAGGGCGGCCAGCCCGAGCGCTAGTACAGGCTCAGCACCAGCCTGAGCTGCCGAGCTCGGTTGTGGCGTTGTCTGTGTGCACCGCTGCCTCACCCCTCTCCTTCGGCATCTCACTACCTTGGACTGGACGTTGACCTGTACCTTCATGCCACCGGCGCAGTGCCCCGGCAGGCCGCAGATGAAGTACCGGGTCCCGACGGCGGCGAGCGGAATGACATCGTTGCCGCTCGGGAACGTGGCGACGGGACTAGAGCTGCTGCAGTTGTCGTAGGCAGTCTTGGTCACCTCCACCACGTTGTGCGCCGCAGCGGGGTACTGGAACCGGAGCTCGTCGCCGGTGTAGAACCTGATGGTGGAAGTCCATCGGGTGTAGTTTGTCCGGAGGTCCCACGACCCGGCCGGTGCGCCGACTGTGTAGGTGGCGCCGAGCGCCGAGCCAAACAGCGCCGCCGCGGTCACTGCGGCAACAAGGAGAGCTCTGGTAGCTGCCGCCATGGATGAATGCCAATCGAGGGACTAGTAGTTGAGAACATGACCCGAGAAGGGCTGGAATGTTGAGATGATCGAGGGATGTATGATCGAGGTCGCAGCTCTAGTCTGGTTGTGTTGTAGCATGATGATACTCTGCGATATATACAGATGAGACGGTAGCTCGTTGAATGCGTCATACAGACTCTGTCAAATTAGAGCATTTGACTCACGCGTTGTTGTACGGGTCGATCTGGAAATTACAGCCCATAATTAAAGTGTGGGCTCGTTGAATAATCAAGGATGAGAAGCTGCTAGCCTACTGCATGATCGATTCCATACATACGTACTGCATAATAATAATAATAATAATAATAATAATAATAATAGGATGCTTCAACCGTTACATTTTTATGTTCGAAATTACTATTTCACATCTAGATGTGAAATACTTATTTCACATCTAAGTCCAGGGTCTCCCTTCGTGTGCCCCAGCCCTTCCTGCGTCGTTGGCCATTCCGTCCGGGGCGGCCACCAGCCCCCGTCCCTGCCCGCCGGGCAGGAGCGCCACCCACCCTCCTCGCGCCATGCGCTCCGCCTCCCCCGCCGGGTCGGCGCGCTCCTCGCACTCCCACGGCAGCGCTGGATCTGACTGGGGCATTCCTGCGTTCGTGGCCGCTCCTGTTAAATCCGCCGGTCCGTCGGATGGGCTGGTCTCTCCGTGGCCTCGTCTCGCGTCAACGGCGTGCCCCGCTCCTCCGCCGCATTTCCTGCTGCGGGGCGAGTGCTCCAAGAACGCGCCACCTCTCCTCCTGCGGTCCGTGCGGAGCGCCCCCGTTCTGGAAAAGGCAGGCTCAAGTCCATTGTGGTTGTGCCATCTCCTCCGCTCTCTCCTTCCTCTTCCGTCGACAGAGACGGGTGGACGGCGGTCAAATCCAAGAAGCAGCGCCGCGCCAGCAAGAACCCTGTAGGCGCTCCTAGGCGCTCCCGGTCGGGGCGGTCCGGCCGGCGCCCCGCCATTAATGCCTCGAGCGGTCGCGCTGCCTTCTTAAGCCACTTCGATGGGTTGTGCTTCCGCCGTCTCAGCACCCGCCACCGTAGAGTAGACTACAGAGGTCCCCTGCATTGCATCATTTGCAAGCAGCCGGGTCACTTCGGCCGCGAATGCCCGCAGAATCCAAGGTTCAAAAGTAGAGTTCCGGCGCAACTCCCCGCTCGCGGCCCGGTCAGAGACAGGCTCCGCTTCCCCACCCCGCCGCCGGCCCCGCTGCCGGCCGCCATGGATCGCCAAGCCTACCACACCGACCCGTCTCATCGCCCCCGCTCCAGCCACAAGGTCATCATCGCCATGCCGGCCATTGAGCACCAGGAGTTCCTCCTCCGCAAGCATGCGGTGGTGCTCACGGCGGCAGTGTCCCAGCACACCGCCAACCCCATGGCGGTGGGCCGGGCCATCGAAGAGCAGCTGCACACGCCTCCCCACCTGCTGCGCGTCACCAGCCATGACACGGAGGACTTCTTCGTCCACTTCGAGCTTCCGACGCACAAGGAGAACGCAGTCCGTCGCGGGCATGTCAAGGTGGACGGCGTCGTGTTCGCGACCAAGGGCTGGCACGAGGACGACCACGGCGTGCCAAACGACTGCAAGCTCCACATCCGCGTGGTCATCGAGGGGATGCCCATGCAGCTCTGGTCGCTGGAGGGCACCGTCGAAGTGCTGGGCGACCTCTGCATCGTGGACTGCCTCGACAGCCGCACCCACGAGCGCGGGCACACCAGGTCATTCGCCTGCTGGGTGTGGGTCTCCGATGTCGCGCACATCCCCACCAAGCGTACCATCTGGCGCGCGGCGCGGGGCGCGGGCCGGGTGGAGGCCATGCTTGGTTTCTCGCCGCCGAGCCGCCAGGTCGCGCCGCCCACCGGCGTCAAGCGCCGTGATCTGCTAGTGCACGTGGACCGAATCGAGGACTGGACCCCGCGATCCCCGCGCTCGTCCCGTTCTCGTCAAAGCAGCCTCCCCTCCTCGGAGTCCGACGACGACGCCCCCTTCCCGGTGATCTACCCGGGGACTTGGACCAGGCATGTTGAGGACGGCCAAGGGCGCCGTAGGACGGAGACGGTGGCCTCCTATGGCTGCCAGGGCCTGCAGTTCGGGAACGGAAGGCGCGACCGCGACAACCACGACGACAGCCGCGGTGGCAGGCGTTCCTGGAAAGACACCCTGCTAGGCCGAAGTCTCAGCCGCGAGGCCGCCGCAAGAAAGAAGGCATCGCCTAGGCATAGGAGCCGCACGCTGGTGAGCCGCTGGCACGGGGCGGGCTGTCGCAAGGACGACGTCGTGCCCCGGGACACTCCTCCTCAGCCGCTCCGTCGCCCACCTCCTCCACCGCCTGCCCTGCCTCCTTAAGCCCCTCCGTCGGCCCGCACCTCCCCCGACCCGGTCACATACTTCTTCAACGATGGCGCAGGCGAGCTGGCTCCTCCGCAGCGCGCTGACTGCATGCTGATGGAGCTCGAGGAGGTGGTCGAGGGCGCACTGGCCGCCCCTCTAGGGTTTCAAGACGGTCAAGGCGACGGTCAATTTGGGGCCCACCCGCGGCCCACCCCCGAGTCGCCATCTGGCGGGGCTCTGCCCTCTCACATGCGCCCCGACCTCGTCAGCGCGACATGCCGCGCCCCTACACCGACCGTGAACACCGCGGTGCAACTTGGCGCCGTCACGTAGTAGGTCCTTGAGCTTCAGCTGGAGGGGGGACCGGCGACGCCCCGACAGCTCTTCCGCAACGTCGCTCCCCCCTTCTCCCCGCCCCGGTGCCACTGCCCCCGCCGGCCTCCCGCCGCTCCTCTGCGCCACCAAAGACGAGGGCGCCCTCAGCGCCAACCAGGCAGAGTGCGCGGCAGGCGGCCATAAACAGCCCCGTCCCCATGGCGCAACGCGCCTCTCTGCGGCTGGTGCAGGAGCTGGGTGGACTCGGCCCCAAGGAGAGGATGACCATGGAGGCGGCTGAGGCGCTCGTGCGGCATTTCGAGGAACGGCTCTCGGAGGATGACATCACTTGCATTGCTAAGCTTACCAAGCTCAACGTGGATGCCCTGCGCACCATGGCCGGCCTTGCTGGCCCTGATGGCGCAACCAGAGCTCAAGTGTGATCATGTTAGAGATGCTCTGTAGTTTTAGGACTAGTCTCCGGTGCCGTCTGGCCTTAAGCCAGATTGAGTTAGGTTTCTTTCAAATGTTGTCTGTTAGGATTAGTAGGTCTGCTCGTCGTCGACATGTTTTGGGTGCTACTGGTGGTTGCCGACGCGCCCCGGTCCGCTGGATGTGTGTAATCGTTTGCTCACTTTCATCATTAGTAGCTTTGGTTCCCGGAGAATTCACCTATTCCTAAATGACTGATGACACATGCGGTTTCATGAGTTGGAACGTGAGAGGGCTCAACTCGTCGACGAGGAGAGCCACGGTTAGTGAGCTAGTTAGTGCCCTGCGCCCGGCGATCCTCTGCGTGCAGGAGACAAAGATCGACACTTGGTCCCCCAGCTTGGTGCGTGACATTGGTGGGCACGCTCTAGACGGCTGCGCTGTCCTACCGGTGATCGGCACCCGCGGTGGTGCGGCCATCTTCTAGGATTCCACCATCGCTAGCATTGCCACGCATAGCATTGGGCTCTTCTCCATCATGGTGATCGTCACGCTGCTGTGCTCTGGCACATCGTTTTGGCTAACAACGGTCTACGGACCGGCTGATGAAGCAAGAAAAGATGTCTTCCTGCTCGAGCTTGCTGCAGCTGCTCCTCCCCCGACCATCCATGGGTGATCAACGGTGATTTTAACATCATATACGAAGCCAGAGACAAGAACAACTCCAACCTCAACAGGCGGCTCATGGAAAAGTTTAGAGCAGCGATAGATCAGGCCGGCCTAAGGGAGATAAAGTGCAAAAACAGGAGATTTACGTGGAGCAATGAGCGCCAAAACCCTACGTTAGTGAGCATCGACAAATTTTTCTGCAACATGGACTGGGAGTTCCCAAACCACACTTTGACTGCGGCATCCACGGCTTGCTCGGATCACTGCCCGCTCATGCTTACAAACGCCGCCTAGCCTCGTCGCAAAGCCAGATTCAGATTTGAGAGCTTCTGGCCTCGCTTCCCCCGTTTCCAGGAAACGGTGGCTCGGGCCTGGGAGAGGCCTGTCAACCATGACTGCCTGTTTGTGAGGTTTAAGACCAAGCTTCAGAGAACCGCTTCTGACCTGAAGATCTGGGGAAAGACGCTGTTGAGCGACGCAAAACTTCAGTTCCACTTGGCATCCGAGGTGGTGCTCCGTTTCGACGTGGCCCAGGAGAGAAGAGTTCTGACCCAATCTGAATTTCACCTCAGGAAGCTGCTCAAGTTGAAGATCATGGGCCTCGCGGCACTGGAGCGTGCCAGGAAAAGACAGGCCTCCCGTGTTACATGGCTGAAGGCCGGTGACGCAAAAACCGCTTTCTTTCAGGCCAAAATCAGCTCGCGAAGATGGAAAAATTTCATTCAGCAGCTACAGGGGGACGACCTGATTGCCACAACCCACGAAGACAAGGCGAAGATGATTCAGGAGCACTTCCAGCAGCTCTTGGGGACAAGGAAAAACAGAGAATGCACGATCAACTGGGACGCGATCAACCTGCCGGTGCTGGACAACAGTGGCCTTGACAATCCTTTCACCGAGGCTGAAATCTGGGCGGCTGTGTGCTCGTCGCCGGTGGAGAAGGCCCCGGGGCCAGATGGGTTCTCTGGGTCCTTCTACAAAGCTTGTTGGCTGACGATCAAGGACGATCTTGTGGCTGTTTTCAACAAGTTCCACCGCCTGGCTACTGGGGATTTTGGGTCGCTGAACAGAGCGCTGATTGCTTTGCTCCCAAAGAAGGATGGGGCAGTCACAGTGGGAGACTTTCGGCCAATTAGCTTAATACATTCCATGGCGAAGCTGATTGCCAAAGTCCTCTCCCTGCACCTGTCAGAAGTCATCGATCAGCTCATCTCCCCTG